TCTGTATCGATAATAATGACTATTTTAAAAAGATTTTCCAAAAAATATTTAATTTTCGACGAAATAAAAAATTTCGACTCAGAATTTTATTATAAGTATAGATAGATGTAAATGGTGCAATCTATCTTAACTATGTTCATGTAATAAAACATCCACCTACCATTAAAGAATAAAGTAATAGATAACGCTCTTTTATCATCAGTATTTAACCAACTTGAAAAATAATATTAATATTTGTTATTATTTTTGCTTTAGATAAATACATATATGAAATACTCCAATCTTTATATTCGATTAATAACCGTGCTTTACGTGGAATGTTATGTCCATATATGGAATAAGAAGCAATATATCTCGCTCGAATGCTTCCCTAAGTAGCTAAAAGCCTATGAATTACTCCAGATCATAGTCTATGTTTTTTTTTCGTGATTTTTTCCGATGTTTTTATAGTCAGTCATTCTGCTATTCAGGGTGAAGACAAATCCAACAAAATAAGGATCATAAAAATCGGTCCGGCAGTTCTCGAGTTGTAAGTAAACCCGACTTTTATTTTATATATAAATCTTATATTTACAAAAAAAAATATGTACACTTAGATAACTATTACGGTACAAGTCATGTCCGCGTGGAATAGTAGCAAGAATGCTATCCTGCAATGCTAGCATTCCAAGGGGCTAAAGGTTTTTGCAGTAGATGTAGAAAAAATTAAATTTTATCCAAATATATTCGGATACATGACAAGCGATATATTTTGCCGAAGTATTCGCATGATAATAAAACTGGTTGGCGCACGCGTTTACGACACTTGTCGGGATTGTGTTACTTAAGTTCACGGTTCTTTAACACTAAAAGTGTGGACGTTCTGAAAATCAAGTTTATGATATACGAGTACTTATATGTAAGGGTAATAATAATTCGAACTACCTCTATAAATACATAGGTACTGAGTATATACATACGTTTGTGTAATAAATTGAGTACTTACATAGATTACGACTTTCGTTTTTGGGTTTTTTCTGTGGAAAATTGCATTTAGGTATATCATTTGCATACATATAGGTGGTTATGTGGGACTCATTGTCTGAATGATATGCATTCCAAATGCATTGCCCAACATTAAAAAAAACGCACCCATGACCCCTCCAAGAGCGCGAGGGTAAGTCGCAAATAATTATGTAAATTTGTACACATTATATGTATAGTTCTCTGGTAAATACATTCTATTATATTTTTATTGTACAAAAAAATATTTCAAGTAAGTAATTAATAAAATATATTCATTTCATACGATTTCATATGAAATGAATTTTTTTTTTGGTATTTGCTTGAAATATATTTATTTAATTAATTCTTTGAAATATTCATTTAAATAATTTTAAATTGACTTCTTCCGTAACGTAACAGCCCAGTGTAACCGTTTTCTTTACAAAAATCCAATCAAAAAGCCAATCTTTTTTTCTCTTACTCGTATAAGGCGCGCCCAAAGAAGTTTCATTTCAATATTTTTTTATGGATTTTAAAAAGAAAATAATATTTTATTATTCACGTAGTACAGAAAGTGTTAAGGTAAAATTTAATTAACAATCAAATGTTGTAATGATTAAAAATAGAGGATATAGTTGAAACAATCTTATAAAGCACGTGCTGTTAGAATTTCAGTTTTTTATCTGAACCAGTCAGCCAGAGCTTATACACAGTGCATTGTACAACATAGAGGCTTTGATAGCTCAGTCTCATAAGGCTGATGACCTGCCTGCATTCGATACATCGCATCATTTAATTAAGAAAAAATATCGAGAATTCTTTAAAATAATATAAAACGTGTCGTCATAATTATTACTAGTTGGTATAACTTTGAAATTTAAACTATTTAAAATTTAAAGTTGTACCAACTAATAATAATTATGACGACACGTTTGGCTCAGTTTGTAGTGACCCTAATTGCTGTGCCAGTGGTCGCGGGTTCGAGTTCCGCTGGGGGAGTCATTTGTGTAATGAACACGAATGTTTGTACTCCAGTCATGATGGAGTTTATATTTATATTTATAATAAAAACTTCATCATTTGTTCCTTAATAACTACGCAAAGACAAACAGTAATAGCTACTTTGTTGCATACTTAAGAGATAATATTCAATCGTTATTATAAATTATAAGAAATGCGCGTGATAATAAAATATGTTTATTTTTCTTCCTCGGTAAATGACCGAAGCAGTGATTGACCTGCATTGAACGATTGCATAGTAATTATTTATTATGGCTTCCATTATTATTACTGGTGTTCCGTTTTTCCGTCGTTCTTTGCGCTTAACTCTTTGCAACAGACATACGGACTTGATATATAGTTTTAATAATAAAGAGTTCATACCTACCTTTGATATTAGTATTCTCAGAACCCATGTAGTATTTACTTTTGTTTCTAATGTTTTTTTTTATTTTTCCTTTTATGTTTGTAATGATTTATAATGTATGTATAATCTAGTTAGTGTAAGTGGCACTGCCGTTCTGATTAGATGTTAATAAATAAATACCGATTTTAAAATCATTTTAAGTATTTTTCTACTATTAAGATGTAATAGTAGAAAAATACTTTTTTATTAAAATAAGCCCCCGGTATAAACCATTTATTAGAAAAAGAGTTATGGAAATCGATTTACAAATGATGCAGATATTATGTGACATACATATTGAGTTCCTCACCGGCTTTTAGCAGAACCGCTTTCCGAGCCGGTGGTAGCATCACGGACTGACTACACTGACACTCTTTCAATTAAATTGGCGATTCAAACGTGCTTGTAATAAGTCTATTTGGATAAAGTTTAATTTCAAACAAACACAAAAAATACAGCCGAATTAAGTACTTCATTTTGTATAAAGTCGTTGAAAAAATAGCTTATTGCAACATAAACAAAACACAAAATCACATCGCCCTTATTCTTCTGTTTATAATGTTACGTACAAGAAGAATAAAGCAACAAACGTGTTTATAATAGGTACTACTTGTTGTTCGCGGCTTTGCTTCCACCATAGGTACATGTATGTATAGGTACATACCAAAGTCTTTAGTCTTTGGATATAAGGTTGAGCCCTTATAATACTTTCTTAAATTTACGCGAGTATTTGAGATTTTAGATAAAACTATGTGTTTGGATACTCGCGGATTTATTTAGATTTTTGGGTCTAGATATTCCAATTGCTTTACAGCAATTACGGTCACGGGAAAGATTAAGGTTTTAGACCTCTCAAAGATCATTATATAAATGTATATATTTATAATTACAAGATTGAGCCGTTATGGCATGATGAAGTAACAAACACACTCACAAACTTACATTTGTAATGTGGTAACCTTTTATAATATAATAAACTGGTAACAATATGTCGGCATATTTTTGAAAATTGTGAAGTAGATCTGACCTATATTGACATTTACAGACAGATATTTTAAAGAGAACTTATTATATGTATATATAATATATGTCTATCTATTCCATACTAAACATTAAAGCGTATCGTAACTATACAGTGAAGTGATTTATGATATTTAGATGCCCTTAATTAGGTATAATATAATTTTTTTATATTTTTTTATAATTAATGACAATGTAAGAAAATAGAACAAAATGCTAATTTACGATACAATTTTATTTAATAATAATGTAAATGCAAATTAGCAAGAGAATGTTTCAGATTATGTTTTTATTTTTTTATTTTATTTTATTTGCGAAACACAGTATTTTATAACATAAGTCATCATCATCTTCCTGCCCATTTCCCAATCACTTGGGGTCGGCGCAGTACATCTTCATATTTGGCAAAGGTTTTACGACCGGCCGCCTGCCTGACATCAACATTCCCTCTTTGGGAATATTATAACATAAGTATCTAAATAACTAAAATAAAGTATTACACAAACCATGTATATGAAAATAAAAATTTTCATTAAAACTAGCGCACTATTTTTTCTCAACTATTGCTATTAGGTTTATAAATCTATATCTATACTTATTATAAAAATAAGTCCCCCGGCCGCGTCTTTCTGTCCTCCTGTCTGTCCTCCTGTCTGTCTGTACGCGATAAACTCGAAAACTACTGAACGGATTTTTATACGGTTTTCAACAATAGAAAGAGTAATTCTTGAGGAAGGTTTAGGTATATAATTTATTATGCTTTTATGTAAATTAGCTGAAATACGGCGACAAATGTTGAAGAGGTCGCAAAAAATCTCGCCAAATGGGAACTTTCCACGCGAACGCCGCGTAAACTAGCAAAGATACAGTTAAGTAACGTACTAGAGAATTCAAAATCTATAAAAATGCTACAAAAAAGTCCGCGATAGCATATTTTTATCTCTTACGGTTGACTTACAATAACCACTTTTATGTTAACATTTTTAATTAAAAACATTACGTTATTTTCAAAGTTATTTTCTTTAGTTCGGTATTAATCCTTATCCAAATGAATATTTTAGTTAGCTTAGTCATTTAATGCAGATTAAAATTGCTCTTTACACTAAATCAATCAGATGAATAGTTTTTGAGATATCGTTGTTAGAAGTAATTAGTAGCGAAACATTTTTAATGCTTGGCGAGCATTGAGATGCCTACGGCGAGTCCATCCCCTCTGCCCCGCATCGCTCGACCGCCTGCTCAAGCTATATAAACCGGGCGATGTAGCGCGCGATCCTAGGATACTTTTTACCGCGGGAAAATATCTTATTTCTGAGGAAAAATACAAAAACTGCAATGTAAGAGTATACTAATATGTAACACCTAAGAATTTAGTTTTTGGTCATCTGAACGCGGGCGGAGCCGCGGGCAATGCTAGTTTAAATATATTTTTAATTATTATCTCTGATATTATAACGAAAGCGCAACGTGTGGCATTATTTTGATATTAATCAGTAAACTGAAATAACTAAGCTTTAAAGATAACAATGAAGAGAAGAATTCACAGAAAATTTGATTTCCCCATTAAACTCTGAACATTTCTTCTTTACAGGTCATGGCAGGTTCAACCACTTGGTATTATTGACTTGTGGTTTGATTATGCTGAACGTATCCATGGAGTCAGTCGGCATGAGCTATGTCATCACTGCTGCGGAATGTGAGCTGGGACTCACTAGTGAACATAAGGGACTTATCAATGCAGCGGCTTTTATTGGTAAGTTACAGCTCCGATCAGTTGACACCAACGACTACTCGGCTAAGTAGTCGTTGGTTGACACCCGTATCTTCCTGTCATTGAATTATGATTGGAAGTTTCGAAAGGTTATTCAGAACGTCATCAGCGCTGAGGATATTTTCAGCTCATTATAATGTCTTCCTGATCGATTTTGGTGGCGACCAATCTGAGACTATCCATGTATGCAGAAGATTCATATATAGTATATAAGTATGCACGCACAAGTGCACTCTCTCATACTCCTATTGGACTGCGATTCGTCACGACCGGTGAGATATCAGAATTTCAGAAAATATTTCATCTCTGAGAAATCTATACAAAAAGTTAAAACGTAACTAGGGACGAACCAGAGCGCAGCGAGGACTAGCTAGTTTAAATATAAAGTAATTAAATTACACTAATGTTTATGATCAAGGAAGTAATAATACCAACATAAAATCATTGCCATTATTTCATCTTATGAGATAAGAAATTGTAAAAAAAACCAGTGATAATTGTAAAACACGAGGTTCGAGCGGGTCAATAGATAGTAATAAAAAGTTGAGATAACGTGGAATTATTTCTAGTGTTTTTAATACTATAACTTTCATAATATTTTTATTTTTATTTTAATATGTAATACACAATGACAGCGACATCATTTTTTTTAAACTAATCTTTTGTGCTGGAATATAACATAATTAATTGTGTATGGAACAACCCTAAAGATATAGGTATATAACTAATGCCTATTTATTCGAATCACAATTACGTAACATACAATTTTGTCCTCCTCATAAGGCCCGGAATTACATTTTGTCCGTTTTTCAGTCATTTTACTCAGACTGTGTTCAGTCCTTTTAACTTCCCACTGCTGGGCAAAGGCCCCCTTTAATACGAAGGGAGGCCTTTACTCAACAGAGGTATTCAGGCTGTGCCTCTGTGCTGGCCAAGTGCGGTTGGCGGATTTCACATGTGTTTCGAAAACTTGTTAGGTTCTCTCAGACAATCAATTGATTTCCTTCACCGTAAAGCAAGTGGTAATCATTTTAAAAATGACTCAGACTTTTGGATCTATACCTATTGCTGGAATTTGTTAAATATGTGTCTCTTGTGAAACGTAAGAAAATTATGTAGTCCAATTACGAAAAATAAAAAAATGACAGTACATATAATTGAGAAAATTTAGTGATTTACTCGTGATGCGGTCTGAGACGATATCGATAATAATAACTATTTCAATAAGATTTTCCAAAAAATATATTATGTACAGATTCGACTAAGTTAGAATTTTATTATATGTATAGACTATAGATACTGTAATGCATATAGCTACAAATCATATGCACTCTACTATGAGGAAATTCGTATTGTTTTCTTGAAATTCTCACGGTTATCGAATAACGTGTTTTACTACGGCATTCGTAGTAATGTTATCTGAAGAAATAAAAACTTTATTTACATTATCACTGTAAATCTTTTTAACAAACTTCAAAAAAGGAAGTGTATGTTAGTATGTGTTCGTTTGGTGGTATGTAATTATATCACCCAATTATTAGCAAATTTTGAGAGCTTTACTCCGGCTGCCACCTGAATGAGTCTTTGCGATGTGCTAACTAAAAAAAAGAGTTACCGATCCTTTTACTCGTAAACAATTTATTAAAAAAAATAACACTAAGATTATAATAATACCAATACAAATTATATTTACATCTTTAGAGTTGTTTTTAAATTGTAAGGTAGTCCACTGATTTTAATCTTTTCTTTGAAATTATTGTATACTAGCGACTCATAGTCGTTACGCTCGGGTTCGTCCCTACATTGATTCCCCATACAAAATTTCCTCCCATTTTCACCTCCATAAGGGATGATTTCCAGGATAAAAGGTATCCTATGTTCTTCTCAGTGTTTCAAACTGTCTTCTTATCAAATTTTATCTAAATCGGTTCAGTAGATCCAGAGATTACCCTCTACAACCTTACAAACTCACAAACTTTACCTCTTTATAATATTAGTATAGATTTAGATCGATATAGTTTGTAACAATTATGACGTCAAATACTTCAGTCTCTCGCGTGATATAGACGTAAAGGATTGAAAAGAAAATAAGAAAACGATAAAATAACACTGTATAAATAGGCAAAGTTTAGTACCTTTTTCTTCATTGTTTGTCCATAGATTTTCTTTTATTTTGATCTACATCTTGGATCTAATGATTATGGTAAAACTTTATCCTCTGGGCGAAAACTATATAATTTAATTTTGCATTTCTTTTTTTGCTTACAACTTTTTCACAACTAAATTGAAAAAAAAAATTCTACAAAATTTAAAAATCCTAAGCTTTAAACAAAAGAATGTACGGGAATAAATATAATTAATATCTACTTGTGTAACAAATTATGACACGGAGACAATACTATAGTATGTCAGTCAATATGAATGAGTATTTTAGGAAATTTATAATTGCTTCTTTAACTTCAATAAAGAAGGTGGTATTGAATTCAGCGGTTTTTTGGTCAATTGTGAACCGATGTCAATAATAATTACCGAGTGAAGTGAGTTCAAACCCCGGGTCTGCCACCTCTTATATTTTCATGTGCGAATCATACCTATAAAAGTTATAATCTAATATATCCACCTTTGTAAATAACAACTGATTTTAAATTACTGTATTGATTTTTTTAAAGTGCAATAAAGAATAGTATATATAAAATTCTCGTCTCACAGTGTATGTAACAAAACTCCACCGAAACTGCTTGACCGATTGTAATGAAATTGTGTGTGTATATTCAGTAGGTCTGAGAATAGAACGTAAACTTTTTCATACCCCTAAGTTATAAGGGTGGCCCGCCCCAAAAAATACATAAAAACTTAAATTTTCACTGGTGACGAACGGAGCGAGGGTGAGTCGCTAGTAATGTATATAAAAGTTACGTACCTACATATATCGTATTGAACTACAATATTTTCTATATATTGTATTCACTTAAAGACAACAGTTTTGGCAATGCAGAAAAAAACACTTAAATTTATTTAAATTAATATATTACAATAATTAAGCCTTTTTAACGGGTGTGGATTGGGTATTAGCTCTCGATCTCGATCAATACGAGGGGGATCATTCCATAGTCCACCATGCTGGTCAAATATGGATTGGTGGACTTCACAATATAAATATATGTATAAGTGAAAACTTTATTTTGACATACACCGGTAGGTATTGATAAATTTATTAAAAAAAAACAATGACAATAAACAGTCTTTTGTCTTTAAATAGTCCTATCTATGGCAACCCTTCCCTCTAAAGTCCACCGTCTCATTAATGTTAATTGTTGGTTAATGTTTATGTTTAGTCCATTATGTACATTTCTGTGTACATACATTAAAAGTAATAGAATTAAAATGTAGATAAGTGTATAATATGAAACTATTAGGTTAAAACAATGACATTAGTCTTTTGTCTTTAAATAGTGCAGTCAGCTGTCCCAAACTTTTGTATCCTATCTATGACACCCTTCCCTCCAAAGTCCCCCGTCCCATTAATGTTAATTGTTTGTTGATGTTTGTGTTTAGTCCATTATGTAGATTTCTGTGTACATACATTAAAAGTAATAGAATTAAATTGTAGATAAGTGTATGAATATGTAACTATTAACATTAACAATTATTAATTTTAATTTTATTTTTCTCATATGGTTTTATGGATATATTGTGTTGTCTGTTGTAGGTCCTGATTTTAAAACGAATTGCTCCGTTTCTACATGTAATCAGATTTAGTGTTTTTTTTTCTTCTATTTTTTACCGATCATTCTATATATAACATGTCTTATACACTATACGCGACATTGGCGAAATAAACGGTGCCCAAACGGCACTCCTAGAAGCCATTACATTAGAATTAAATTAAATAGTGCAGTCACATATGCAAGGCCACATAGTCTAGATATAATATATATTAAATCCAAGTCTTTCTGGTCCAACGCTGATTTTCATTGGCTGCCTTATGGGTTCAGCTTCAAAGGACGCTACAGCAATAATTATAAAAACAAATAATAATATAATTAGTTTTTTACAGTTAAAAATAAAAAATAGACTATTTACGATGTGTAGGTTACCTCACAATGTATTTCACTCATGAAACATTTTAGAGGTACGAGATCTGGGCCTTGAACCCGCTTCACTTTGTTTTCCATGCGAGCACGCTACTACTGGTCTCCCACAGAGTTTCATTAAACTATTAATACAATAAATAAATAACATTTAATAAAGTTTTTATATCGATAATTCACGATACGGAAGAGGAATAATTACACGTCATTAAATTAGTAAAAATAAAAGTAACAGTGAGTCTTAAATTAAAAAAAAAGGAACAAGAAACGTTGGAAAAATATATAATTATATAAATTTTAACTTTATAAATGTCAGAGTTTTAATGAACGAGATTAAACAAAAAAAAACTGTTCATCAGCTGCTTTTTTTGGATCTTATAATTTTTTAATTTTTTTTTTCAAAGCAGGAAATATTGTTCTTAGCATTTACTTTTATTTTTCCTCCTAGGTAAATACCTACTCCTCCTAGGTAATATCTACTCCTGCGGCTTCGTTTTCATTTGTACGGTTACCCTAGACCATTCCAATGTTGGCAGCAGCCTCTTCCTAAACAAGATTTCCAAATTTTGCGGTCTTCTGAAATTGTTGACTGTTTCATTGCAAAATAAAGCTTTATTGTCATATTTTTTTTTATTTGTTGCGATTTAATAAGAAACAACCTATTTCTCGCCAATGGCGTAATATTTAAACAAGCAATTCTTGTATATTTATTTATTTATACCGGCGATCTCGAAAACGACTCTAAAGATTTCGCTGAAATTTGGTATGAGGGGATTTTCGGGAACGAAAAATCGATTTAGATTTGTCTGGGAAAACGCGTGTTTTAGAGTTTTCATGCGGTTTTTTTTCGCATTATTGCACGCAAAATATGGTCGCTAATTGCGCACACTCGGGCATGAGCATCGTGGTCAAGCGGCCAAGGCGCAAGATTGATAATCACGAGTGTACAGGTTCGAATCTTAGTCAGATTTTTCGATTTTTCAGTCGAGTTTTTACTATCTTTAATAATGGGAACACATCGCATTAGATCTACCGCGATCATGTTAAGTTCAATCTTATTTCATGATTTCATGAAGTTTTATCATTTTCTATGAATGAAAATCAATTTTTTTTTAACTAAATTGGAAAATTGCTTTGTTTTCTCATTTAATTTCATTTGTATCTCAAAAACGGCGAACTTTTTTTTAGCCTCATGATATTTAACCATAATATATAGTTTTATTTATTATTGAAGATAAAATTAATACATTCAGTAACTAAAGCGTTTGTAATTAACGTATTTTTAAATGTTCGTAGGTATAATAAGCACGTCTTTTCTATGGGGGTATTTGGGGGACCGATATGGCCGCAGAGCTGTCATGCTGCCAGCCATGGTGACGTCAGCTGCTTTTTCCATCGCATCCTCGTTTTCAACTAATGTATGGATGCTACTTATTCTGAGATTCTTTACTGGATGTCTGTAAGTATTGCTTATTCTATTTTGTTTATAAAATAAAATTTTCAAAGGCTTATGAATTGATCATACAAAATGTGATTATTATTTTTTTTAAATATTATTAAATGTACATAATATGTCTACTCTTTTACATATGCATTTTTTCGAATAGTTGTTAAAGTTTATAACTACATCAAATTGCGTCAAGTTTTTTTTTGCATTTTTTCCTTCACTTTTGAAATAGTAAGAAATTTTTTATCCGAAGAAATTTATTATTTACATTTATTTATTACTAGCGACACACCCTCGTTTCGCTCGGGTTCGTCTCTAGGTTGATTCTCCATACAAACTTTTATCCCCATTTTACCCCTTTATAGGATGATTTCCGGAATAAAAAGTATTCTATGCCCTTCATAAGGTCTCAAACTATCTTCTTACCAAATTTCATCTAAATCGGTTTTGTAGATCCAGAGGTTACCCTCTACAACGTCACAAACTCACAAACTGTACCTCTGTATAGTATTAGTATAGATAAGAATTTATTTAATATTTCGAAACATTTCGAATTGGATCGCTGTGACCAATGCTGTGCTTACGCTGGGTGAGACAAATATTAAATACGTTCAAGCATCGAATCCACGATACTTAAGGTAGTGTTATGGAAATATCTATATTTACATCTGACTTTACTATTGATAAATCAGCATTTTGTATATAATGTGTGGATATATAATAAAAACTTAAAAAAAAGGACTTCCAGGCACTCAAATGTAAAAAATAACTAAACGGGGGTTTTCATTTAGAATAGATACCTAATCAGATATTTTCGAAGTCGGTGCCAGCCGATGCATAGGAAATCTAATATATTTTGATACGTAAAATACATATTTACCTATTAGATATTCATATCTTAAAATATTGTCCGCCAATCGTTTTTGGAAGTCGGTAAAAAATAAACTGATATCATTATTATATACCGGAAAGGGGTATTGGATGTATTATTTTCGCCAGTTCTTCTCAGGTCTGAGGCTTCTTCTTTCCGAACTGGTAGTAGACTCATGACATTCAGTAAAAAATTGTAATAATTTAATGCTGAATAAAATATTTTGATTTGATTTGATATTAATGCAAATATAATCGTTACAGGGTATCAGCGTCCAGTGCAACAGTATACGCGTATCTCGGCGAAATGCACACAAGCTCAAGACGCGCAGCCGCCATCGCTTGGGGATCAGTATTCATCTCATTTTCTTTCATGATTTTACCAGGTCTGATATAGTTATTCACATATTAAATTTTGAAGATAAAGCATACGTATAATAGTTTTGGAGCAGGTTTAAGATGTAGTAGATGCTACACCTAATTAATATGTTATTTGGGAGACTATTGGCCGATTTCACCAACGTCACCTAAGTTTAAGGGATCCCCTAAACATGGTTAGGGGGCTGTTAGGTTTCACCGACAGTTAGGGGTCACCTAAATGTTAAAATGCCACCTAAATATAGGTACTAGAAATACTAGCTCTGACGATGGTAAAACGAAATTTAATTTAGGGGCTATTTTAGGGGAACTTAAGCTAGGGATTCCATACGTAGGTGGTAGCTTATGGCATGTTGGTGAAATCGGACATGTATCTTTGTGGGATATTAATGATTTTTTTTGCTTTACCAATTATACACTGAAATACCATCACAGTAATCAGTCAGCCAGAGCTGATTTTAATTCATAATCCCATAACATAAGTACCTACATAATTATTGTATTGTAATCTGTAAACAATTTTTTTACAAGAGCAGCTGTTTATTTCTCGCTCTCTCTTATCAGCAGATCTGCTTTTGAACTGGTGGAAGTATACTCACGGGCATTACTGACTGAAAAGTGCTTGTATAAGTCTATCATATATCTCCGAACATCAAAACAATCAAAATCGGAACGAGATCTTTTTTATGTACCTATTGCAGGTACAAACTCTTTCCAGTGGCTCCTCACGTGTAGTTGAATTACATATTACTATATCTTTAAAATTTCGCCCGTGTTACTCTGATGTATATATCAGATAATAATACAGTTTATAAGCTGTGTTTATGTAAAGTTTCATCAAAATTGATTTAGTAGTTTTAACTTGTAAGAGTATTAAACATCCATCCTCATAGACTTTCTAGTTTATATTAATAACTCGTATCAATAGATATGTCGCGGCGTGTTGATCTATACAAATAAATAGTATTTGTTTGTAATCTTTAGTGTAAATCCGGTTGTAAAGTAAAATTAAAAGTCTTTTACTAAATACATATGAAAGAATAGGTATATGGTACTTATAAGAAAAAAAAAACAATTTTTAAAATTTTTCTCGGTCTGTCTGTCTGCTTGCTAACACTGCTTGCTTGCTAATCTCCAAACAGGATATCGCGCAAAAAATTTAAACCCATGAAATTGTGAACAGAATCCGCATATCTAGGGACGCATCCGAATGAACCGAGTACATACATACATACATCTAGTAGCAGTAGTAATTTAATCATATTATTTTCTTTCAATACTTAATTATTTTTAATAGATACAAATAAATCAAGACGCTTACTTTCTTAAATAATCATCTTAATTAAGAACAATCAACAAGGTTTAAGAATGACTTAAAAAAACGTCATTTTGCAATAAAATTAAACTGTCGAGTTCGTGTTTTAGTCCGATAGAAGATATTTTTTGTCACGAAAGATTCTTAATTATTATATTACGTGATTTAGGTTAGACGTTGAATTATTACGCTTGTATTGTTGATCTTGAACACCCAGCAAGTCCTTGAATAAAATAAATTATATTAGTAAATCTAGACCGAATTCTAGACACATTTCATGAGACTGACCAGATGCAAAGGTTATATTATACCTATTGCACAAATGTGTGCGCTAGTATAGGTACCTAAATGAAATCTTTATCCTACTCGATCTCGTAGAATTGTTGGATTTCGCGCTCTCAGGGCTGTGAGGTTTACTATACCAATAATTCAATTCCACTCAAAAATTCCTATAACTATTTTTGTCCGACCCGGCACTAGAATCTAGGACTTGAGGAATTGCAAAAGTAAATCTCAGCTTTTAATTAAACCTTTAACCAAAAGTATCATATTTCCCATTCTTTTTATATATGTTGAGTGCCCATATTTATCGCATTCACTTTCTCTCTATACATTTAAAAAAAATCGAACTGAGTCCAATCTGTACATTAAATATTTTTTGGAATATCTTATCGAAATCGTCATTTGTGTCAATACTAAGGCCGAATCTATGGTTTTAGCATTTTTAACTGTTTGTCTGTCTGTGACCACATCACGAGCAAACGACTGGACAGATTTTGATGATATTTGTTATGATGATAGCTGGTTATCCGGGTCAACATATTGGATACTTTTTACTGCAGGAAAATATTTCATCTCTGAGAAATCTATACTAAACATTAAAACGTAACGAACCCTATTGGAGCGAGGGTGAGTCGCTAGTTTATAATATTAATAGTAAATATATTTCAAACGGCATTCTTGTACATCAAAGGTTACTTCTATAATAAATTTAGCCTACTTACTTAATAATTAAGTTACGATGGCAGTACTGAGAAAGATTTGGGTCAAAAATGTGGACTAAGCTGTGTTCGGTCAAGGCTAGAGATAGGTAGGTTACCTTTATCTTGAAAATGGATGGACTTATTTTGGTAATATTAATTCAAGAAATAAAAAAAATTTCATTGATAGACGTTTTATCGATAAGCAACAATTATACATCAGATTAAAACTTATTTATATGGTCAATTTTATTATTTACATGAATGGGGCTCGAAGTCACGACCTACGATATATTAAGAGCTGCTGTGATTACTGTACCAGATAGATTCTGTCAGTAAACAAGTTATTTACATTACTTTTTAAATGGAAAATCACTTTAAACGTAATGATTTAGGGTTTTTTTTTTCCTAGAATTTTTGTGGAGAACATTTGATTCATTAAAACATGTTGCTGAAAAATACATTCGAATCGTTCATACACAATGTACAGTATTCACCCAATTAAAGTACCCTTTTCTATTGAAATCGGTCAAATAGTAAGTTATTATATCTGCTATAGACCCGAAGTGAGTGCATCATTTTTAGGGTTCCGAACCTGAAGGGTTCAGATGACCAAAAACCAAATTCTTAGGTTTTACATGTTAGTATACTCTAATATTGCAGTTTTTGTAGTTTATCTCAGAAATGAGATATTTTCCCGCGGTAAAAAGTATCCTATATATTGACCTGGATAACCAGCTATCATCATACCAAATTTCATCAAAATCCCTCCAATGGTTTTTCTGTGATGCGGTAACAGACAGACAAACAGACAAAAAATCTAAAAACTATAGATTCGGCCTCTGTATCGATAATAATGTTTATTTTAATAAGATTTTCCAAAAAATATTTTATGTACATATTCGGCTTAGTTACAATTTTATTATATGTATACATTTGTATTAGAAATAACTTATTCTATGTCTAAATACCAGTAGTTCTAAAAAATTAAAGGAAAAAAAAGATCTCCAGAAAAAAACACAGCGGCACTACAGTTCTTTACCCTCATACTACTCTACTCTACCTCCATACGCTCTTTACCCTCGGGAAAGCAGTTTTTTTTTCTATAAGAGAGCAAAGATACCCGGCGATTCCTAAAGACTGGATCATTTTTTGTAAAATAAATAAATAATAGTGACGTAACAATATGAAGTAAATATTGTCAACATTTGCAAATATACCAATCAAAGTTATTGATGTAACAAGATCTAATAATAAGATCTAATGTGTCATTAAATTGCTATTAAGTTGACGTGTAATTATTTATTTACACAATCTCTGTATCTTTATCGTGTAAATGGTAACGTCGCTTATCAGTCAGTGTGAGCACATATTTTCATATCATTAAAAACGTAACTAAACGTCCATCTATATACTCGTACATATATATATGTATTACATATAATAAAAGTGTCACTGATCGCTGTCTGTACATGGAAGATATTTGAAAAAAATCTATTATTGCGGGTCTTTATTAACGCAATAGAACCCAAAACAATGATTTTTAACATTTTTGTCTGTTCGTCTGTGCGTTTGTGCGCGCTAATCTCAGAAACGGCTTAACCGATTTGGGTGCGGTTTTCACTGATGTATTGTGGTAAGCTTCACCTAACATTTAGCATTCGTTTTATTTCAATCGGTTCAAAAATAAATAAAAAATTATGTCAATTTCAAAAATCGGGTGAGTCGCTAGTTTTATTATATAAACAAACTTACCTAATAAAAGATCAAGGAACTTAGAATGTTGTAATGCATTTTATTATAAGTGTTTGTACATTAAACATTTTTAAACGTTCGTTTGAATATGTCATAGATAAAATTTTGACATTCAAATACATAGTTTACTTCCATCTTGCAATATGTGAGTAGAATAGACAGTAGAGGTATATTTGGAGTCTTTACGTCATAATTGTTCTTAAATCAAAGATTAAGAGCTTGGTGTTATCAAACAAGTGTTATGATACCTGGAATCACAATTGTACATTACTGATGATTATAGTTGAATATATTCTAAAAAACAGCTACTATTTAGGTTCTCTTTAAAATGAGAGTTTTCTTTTTGCTTATAAAAATAGTACTATTTATTTATATATAATAGTTCTTTTAATTTAAAATATGCGTTATCATGAATTATTAGAATATGATATTATTTTTCATGATTTTGCTGTAGAGACAAAGCAGTTGTGATTGTAGTCTCTACTAAACACAATTAAGGCAGTGGTAGCCCAGTGGTAACGCGCTCGCTTGGGAAACCGCGTAAAGCGGGTTTAAATCCCGAGTCTCGCACCCCTGATATTTTCACGTGCGAATCATTTTTAGCATGATTACCACTTGCTTTACGGTGAAGGACAAACATTGTGAGGAAACATGTCTGAGAGAACAGCAAGTTTTCGAAAGACATGTGAAGTGCGCCAACCCGCACTTGGCCAGCGTGGTGGACTATGCTAATATTGAAGGGAGGCCCGTGACCAGCAATGGGACTTTAAAAAGGACTGAATACAACAAACACTATTATTTTACTAACGAATACAACAAGTTAAAACTCAGTGTGTACATTTTGAAAAATTACTTGATTTTATATTATTTCAGGATTAGCTTGGCTTATAATCCCGGGAAAATGGACATTCTCATTACTTGGCTTCAAAATGGTACCTTGGCGTGTTTTTATCTGGTCCTGGTGTGCACCAGGGTTACTATCAGCCTTAGCTCTGCTATGGCTACCGGAGAGCCCAAGATATTTACTAGCCACGAGTGGGCCTGATCAAGCACTACCTATATTAGCAAGCATGTATGCATTCAACAAAAATACCAAAGAAGTTAATTTTCCAGTAAGTTATTTATTTATTATTTAATTTTTAGTTTTTGTTCATGATAATATCATATATACAGGGTCATTTTTAATTTACTGAAAACCTTTTGGGAATACACTATTTACAACATAACAACAACATCTGTATGTATATATATATCTATGGCATTATCATAAATTAAATTTCATTTTCATAAAACCTAATCTTACTTATATTATAAATGTGAAAGTTTAGATGTTTGGATGTTTGTTAGTCAATAAAACCAGAACGACTGAACGGATCTGGATGAAATTTGGCATAAAGATAGAAGATAGTCTGGAAGTTATTCCAGATAGTAAAGGTAGATTATGTGTTAATATAGGCTATATTTTTTATCCTGGAAAAATGAACGGTTCCCGTGGGATAGGTTTTCGTTTTCCTAGTGGCGAACCCGTGCGCAGCGAAGGCGAGCCTCTAGTATAGATATACATATTCAGAATAAAACCAAATCATGAGTAACTTCAAACATTTTAGTTAAATAGCCCATAGATAAGTTAGATCCTTGGCCAAGTTTTTGACGTCTGACATCACTTTAATCTTTATATAAATACTTTAGATTTGCTTTGAAATTTGTATATGTTTTGATAAAACATACCCTAATTAGGTTCAAAGATTATATAATGTATTTAACACTATAATACGGCTATCAAAACAACAAATATTATTTTGTAATACTTTTGCATAACAAAAAAATAATTTCAAAGTATTCGTTTTTATATTTATACCTACTTGATTTGATCTATAATTTTGATTTATTATGAATCATAATTTTTTTATTACTTATTTAAAACTAAATTTACTCATTTTAAGTGCAGTGCTGGGTTCTAAGGACATGGTACTTTTTTTTCTTTATAATTTAGAGTAATTCTTTATAATTTCTTTATAATTTAGACTCGTGACGTTCAGTAAAAATTGTAGTAATTTAGTGCTGAATAATATATTTTGAATTTGAATTGAATTCACTTTTTAAAGTCCCACCATGGATCTCCACTGCCAACTCCACTATTATTAGGATACTGATTGGGATACTGAGTTAAGCGGATTCAAATCCCGGGTCTCGTCTCATATCTGATATTTTTATGTGCGAATCATTTCCAACATGATTGCCACTTGTTTTAACTGTGAAGGAAAACGTCGTGAGGAAACCTGCATGTCTGAGAGAACCTAGCAAGTTTTCGAAAGACATGTGAAGTCCGCCCGCACTTGTCCAGCGTGGTGGACAATGGCCTGATCCGCCTCGTACTGACGGGAGGCCCGTGCCCAGCTGTGGGACGTTAAAAAGGGATACAAGACTTTGATCAACACTTTACTCTTCCAGGTGCAAAAAATAATAACCTGTAGTACAGAAACGTCTAAGTCTGGAGGCTTTGTTGGTGCCATAAAAAATATAACCCTGTTGTTCCGGCCGCCGCTTTTAAAGTGTGTTTTCATATCTCACACGTTGATGTTCGCTGTATTCATGCTGTAAGTACCACTATATTACTATTAATTTCAATATGTACAGTGTACAATAATATTGGCTTTTTTGTATTTATTGTATTTTAATTTAGCCTGCACACATTAAAATTCGTCAAAGAGCTTTATAAAGTTTTTAATTTAGTATGTATCTTAGAAATCCTAAATATTTGTGAATTACATATATATTAAATACCTTTGATATAAGTTTATGATTCAAATCTATACATATAATTAAGTTCTAATTGAGTCGAATCTGTACATTAAATATTTTTTGGAAAATCTTATTGTAATAGTCATTATTATCGATGCAGATGCCGAATCGATAGTTTTTTTTTAATTTTTGTCTGTCTGTGACTATATCACGAGAAAACCACTGCACAGATTTTGATGAAATATGTTAAGATGATAGCTGGTTATCCGGGTCAACATATAGGATACTTTTATTGCGGGAAAATAAGTCGTCGCTGAGAAATCTACAATAAACATTTAACACGAAAATGACATACATACGTTCTGTACAAAACCCTTAGCGCCAGTCCCACTTGCACTTGACCAGATTTTATAATATAAACAATGTCAAATACTTTCTAGTGAAATAAAATGATTTAATGATTTATAATTGACATTTAAATGAACGATAAAAATTGCATTATTTTAATTGTCTTTTTGTTACGAGAAATGTACTAATTTAACAATCATTTCTATAGTTTTGATAAACATCAATCAATAAAAGGAAATTTGTTTAAGGAAAGTGTTTTGTTAATTTCGATAATAAATCAACTGTCAATTAGTCGTACTTGTTTTTGTGCAATTATAAATCACGCCGTAATTTAGTTTCATTGGATACTAGCATTTTTCCGTGGCTCCGCCCGCGTATTTCAATTATGTATTGCTATACCTTTATAGCCTATGTGTTACTATCAGAGTATAAGGTATATTACTGTATAGTTTCATCAAAATCAGTTCAGTAGTTTTTGCGTGAATTAGTCCATCATCAGTCTATCCATCTATAAAACAAACTTTCGCGCTTATAGCAATAACCTAATAAATTTAACCTGATCCAGGACTCGAACCCAGGACCTCCGTATATGCAGCTGTATATGCTATATAGAGGCAGACATTCACTTCTAGCACAATTTATGCAATATAATGCGCAAGAGGAATGGAATTGTAAAAAAGCTAACTATAATACCATTTGCGGCTTCAATCACAATCACCTGCACGCTCCGTCTATATTTTTTTAGTCTAACAAATTGAATTCCATACTAATATAATAAATGTAAAAGTGTGTTTGTTTGTTTATTTGTTTGTCTTTCTTTCACGTCAAAACGACTTGGCGGATTGGCGTGATTTTTTGTGTGGAGATATCTGGAGGGCTGGAGAGTGACAAGGCTACTTCTTATCGCGGAAGATTCTCTCTTTCCCATGGGAAAACACGTTATAATACAATCCAAAAAAATATTTATTATCAGAATTACTTGAAACTTGGTATAAATGCTCTTTAATACAATTAATTAATTATGTATTTTAGCATTTTTAAATTCATCCCAGAAGGGGGTAAAATAGCAGATGAAAATTTGAAAATTTATATGAAATCTACCATTTTAGAGTTTTTTTTGTAGTTTTAGCGCGAGTTCTGCTAGTATATAATATAAATATTTTCTAAATATATGATGTTTGTAAATGCTATTTTCCAGTTCTAGTGGCTTATACGTTTGGGTACCAGATATACTAAACAGTATGCTGCGCAGTACGAGTGAGGAAAGTATATCTATATGCCACATAATTCATGAGAAGTTTGAAGCTGCCAGAAATTTAACAGTAAGTTTTATTATTTAACTTATTTTATAAGTACTTTAAAAATTATTACTCCAACCTTAGAGATTTACTCTTAAATTTTAGATAATTTATGTGAATTTTCTCTTGAATTTTAGGTAACTAAGGTGAATTTACTCTTAAATTTTAGGTCACTTAAGTGTAAGTTAGTATTATTTTTAATCTTTATATTACGGGAAATGTCACATATTATATATCTACGCAGTTGTGTGTTGATCTCGTTAAGATAAAGCATAACGAAAGTATAGCTACAAAATAACTAGTCCAAATATTGGTGGCAGGCAGAGTTTTTTCTCTATCTCTCTACCTCTCAACAGAAACACCTAAGACAAGTGCCTCGGTGTACTACTGGATAAATTGTACGGCCGCATATCTATAGGTCCTGGTTTTTAGTCCCGGGACGGGTCAAATTTAGTTATTAAGTATTTCTGTCAAGAAATTCTCAGTAACACCCCGGAGTTGGGGAGTTGGCGGTGTTTCACCCCCGTGCCTCGGAGAGCACGTGTCGCGTCGGTCCTGCGCCGACACTCTCACCGGTCGTGTCTCGTGTCGTCCCACCAGAGTATGAGAGTGACAGGAATAGAGAGTGCACGTTGTGTCTGCGCGTACACTTGTGCACTATAATATCTCCTTCGCAGATGGCTAGTCTCAATGAGTTTAGCCGATGTGGATGAAATCCATCAGGGGGGCACTATTATTATTAAGAAAAACAGTACTATAGAAAAAAATTATAGGTCTCATCGACAAACACGACGTGCCACTCAGAGGTGGCGGTGCGAGTGTTCCCCATATCAATGGGTATGGGCGCAGTGTTCGCTGTCACGTATCTCGCTATTGGAGTGTTCATTGGCAGAGTTGGGAGGAAAACTCTTTATTGTATGTATTTTTTTAAAGAAATCTCTTGAATTTAATATATTTTTTCTAAAATATCACTTAGTCATTATTCCAAGGTACAGTGTGAGATTTTTTACTTGATATTTATATGGGATAAGACCAGTCTTGGAGTACTGAATTGAGTACCTGACTTTTAAAGTCGTTTAAAGCTACTTAATGTACAATGTTTACCCCCCTTATAATTTTAAGATACCTAATAATTATGTATAGAAAAGTTATAATCCTTAATCAGAATTTTTTCAATTTAATTTGGCTCAAATTTTTAACATTTTTATAAATAAATAACTAAAAAATATACCTTCGCTCGGGTGCGTCCTTAAGTCTGATTTTGGAATGCATAAAAGACAAGTCCATAGAAAAATTCTTTCTCTTACGCCAGAAATTTTCGCAGGCGCATACGGATTAACCCACCAAAGTTTCATCACAATCGGATCAATGGATTAGGAACCCATAGATGACAAACATACGAACATTCACTTTTATTTATATGTATAGAAGATAGAATATGTAATGTTTACAGGTCAAATGTATTTAATCGTGTATTTTAATGGCCAAAGCCATTACAAATGTCTTAACATATTTCTAATTATAGCAAGTATAATGGTGATCTGTGGGATTGCGACGGTGGGTGCTGCATTCGTCCCTCAAGGGGGCGCCGCCACGGCTCTCTTGATACTAGCCTTGTGTTCTGGATGTGCCGCATCTATACTCGCTGCTATCGCTGTTGATGTTTTCCCTACATGTCTAAGGTCAGTATTAACATGGTTTATGATTTCGTTTTTGTTAAACTATCATCTATTAGCGGCTCACCCTCGCTTCGCTTTGGGTTCGTTCCTAGACAAAAACGAATCTATCCCACGGGAATCGTACATTTTTCCGGCATAAAAGTTACTTATGCTATTCCAGACTATAATCTCTGCGCCAGATTTCATCCAGATCTGTTCAGCCGTTTTTATAAAAGAGTAACAAACATCCATCCTCATTAGATATTGTGAAGGCGATTATGTGTGTGAAAAGTAAAAACTAAAAATTAATATTTCAGAGCAATGGCGATGTGTGTGATGTACATGGTAGGAAGAACTGGGGCTGCGGTGGGCTCGAACTTGCTAGGCGCTACCCTCGATATGCACTGCCAACTAGCATTCTCAGTTTTTGGAGTTTTTTCTGCAGGTAAATTGTGAAATTAAAAAATTATAATTTAATATATTATTGAATAGATGATAATTATGTTGATGTCGTTGAGATCGATCTTGTAGCTTTATTATGTAATATTGGTGAATATAATTCATTCTAAACATATAATATGTTTTATCAAACTATTGTTTTGGCAATTTAAAATTTCGAATAACTACCATAGAAAACACAAAAATATTAACAGTATTATGGCAAGCTTTTGAATATCCTTTTATACGAGTAATACCTATATAGATAAAATTGTAATTTAAGTAATATTAAAAAAAACAAATACAGCTAATGTCAAACTTTTTGACGTTTCTTAAAAATAAATAAAAACTATATAATTTGATCTCTGTTAAACATTAAGATGTTTTGAATTACATTCAAATCATACATTTTTAAATAAAACTATCTTTTCGGGTTTTTTGCGGATTTATTTTGATTTTTGGTTCCTGTCGTTTCGAATGCTTTACAACAATCATGGTCTCGGGAGAGACCGGACCAGAAAGTTATTTAAAATGTCAAAAGTAAAAAGTATTAAATGATAACTATTAGGAATTATGCAGTATAGTATGCAGTAAATCTAAATTTTTAAAAATGTTTTTTTTTCAGGTTCAACCTTACTTATAATATTTTGGCCGAAACCAGAGAGAATACGAGAGAAAATGGAACAAAGAGGTCTCACTTACTGATGATATAAATCTCAAAAAAACTTAACACTCGCGAATCCTACGTGTTAATGAGACTGATTATTATTATTACAAACGTATTTGTGAATTTATATTTTGTTATAAGATGTAATTACTAATTATGAAATAAAGTATGTTTAATTTTTTTTTAATTATCGTTTAAATAGACCGCCAAATGCCAGTCCTTCATTTAAGATTCAGAAATCTAGAAAGTAAATAGGTAATAATGTCTTATTTTTCGTATATTAAAAAAATTAAGTACAAGGGAACCTCAAACGTACACATTGTGTTTAAAAAAATCTGAAATAAATACAGATTAATTTGTAGTCAAAGCTTTTGCACTTAATTAATAATTTACTAGCGCCATCTATTGAACGTAAATTGCAGCTGTTGTATACGTATTCAAGAGTAGTTAGTTAGCTTTAATATAGATGTCACTAATGTCATTTTCGTAAGAAAATACACAGCTTAGTACACTAGAGATCGCTGATACGATGTCGGTGCATGGCAAATGTAGGTTTTCCGCACTTGATAAAAATTATAAATCTATACATATAATAATATTCTGAGTCGAATCGATAAATTAAGTATTTTTTGGAAAACTTTTTGAAATAGTCATTATTATCGAAACAGGCAGAATTTATTAGATTAGATTTTTTGGCTGTCTGTCTGTCCGTCTGTCTGTACAATGCTGCGGTGACAGACAGACAGACAAAAATTCTAAAAACTATAGATTCGGCCTCTGTATCAATAATAATGTTTATTTCAATAAGATTTTCCAAAAAATATTTAATGTACAGATTCGGCTTAGAATTTTATTATACTGGTATGTATAGATAATAAGGCATGATATTTATGACAAATGCGAATAAAACTTAATTCTAGTTGTAGGTACTATATGTAACAATCTAGCCAGTCTAGGTTGATTCGAACCTGTGGTTCAAACACATCATTTTGCTACGCGTTTTAAATAGGACACTGGACCGTGACTAAATAAAACTAATATAGGCAAAATATATCACTAACTATATAATAACTAATAAGTGCCTTTACTTTAAATAAAATCACATATTTCAAATATCAAGCATTTTTCTGTGCCTGTATAATTTAATACAGTTGATGTTTTCTAATTTCCTTATTCCGTTATTTTTATACTGTGTTATATATAGTTTACATTAAATATGTAGGAAAATGTTTAGAAACTTGTTAATGTGCTGTACGTAAAATGTCCTAGAATCCCTCGGGACACTCGATATAATATGATAGAGCAAGACTATATCGCTAACATGGCGTCTGTGGGTCCAGTATAATATCTGTAATTAAAAAAAAAAAAAGAAATCCATCACAATCTGTCACTTTCCTAAAGATATAGCGTGAAAGGGTTGTCAAGTGACAAATGTGGTTATTATTTAAAGATTAACTGTAAGCATGCCTTAAATTGTTAGCTAATTTGCTGCTATGTTGTCGCCTTGTTAGGTTTTTTATATAATAATTGTAAGATATTTAAGCTTGAATATCGTTGTCTCGAAGTTTGATTCCAGATGAGTTCTAACTCACAGTATTATAGGTGAAAGCGAAAATAGGAATTAATAATAGATAAGTTTCACTACTTGTCGAGGGTCTGGGTGTCTTTCTCTTGGTGCACAGGCGGATGGTACGGATGGCGATTGGCCATACTGGTTTACGCCGCATAGTATATAACAACCGAAAATAGATAATATTAAAAAAAAGCATTTGTAAAATCAAGCTTTCATTAATACGCTAAGAAGAAGCAATTTGCTGTTGACGCTAAGGAGATGTCTCGTTAGTCGCCTGCCGCCAACTCTAGGCGCAACAGTCAAGCCATAATAGATTTTAGAAAGAACTATAATAGTTAAAAGTGTATAGAAAATTTTGTGTCTATACTGTTGACCGTTGAGCAGTTGCTTCGTCTTCGTCTTCTAGAGGCCATAATTATCATAAAAATTCATTGTTATCGGAAGTGAACCATGTAAAACATGTAAAATGTCAACTCTGAAGGGTTATTGGATATGGTTCTAATTCAGCTTGCAAGATTTGACGCAAACAAACATACGAACTAACAAACTTTGCAAGTTTAATAAAAAAATATGCTTTTAAAAAAATAGCAGTCAATTTAAAATGCTCCTTTTTTGTACTCAGTTAAAACATAACTATACTCTAGTCTCTAGGTGATTTTTTAAAGCCCTACATTTAACACCGCATCGAATAATATACACACAATCGAGAAATGCATTGTGATAGATTTTTGAAAAGCAATTAATAGATTTCGTTAATTTAAATATTCATTTTAAATTGTTTTACCCATATTTTCTTTATCAATAATTGTCCGGACAGACGTTGTCTTGTTCGAGTTTTAATAGTTTGTAATTTTATGTTATGGAATCCAAATGTTATGGTAAAGGGCTATTAATTTTTTTCTTAATTTCCAAACTTTCCAAGCGACTTTTCCAAATGTATTCCCATAAAAAAATTATGTAAATTATTTTATTTTAATTAAAAAAATAGTCAAGTTAGACCAGCTTTTCTCGAGTAAAAAAATCATTTCTTTTTCATTTATGGTATTATTTAATTTAAGTTTTCTAAATCCGTAAGACAACAAACTAAATTCTACCAAATATGAAATCCCATGTTAACTTCAATCCCAGTTTTAAGGCATGTTGATAAACGTTTTATGATAAAATAATAGCGGTTTGGTATCACTTAAAAAAGCAAAATTACTCCAAAAAAAGTCGATCGACACAGGTAGAGAGTTTTTATAGATCTATTATATTTGACGACCGCGTTTCAAAATTCTCTTGCCCTGCTCATTTCTATAGTAGAACCAGAAAATAATTGTTATAACACTGTCTTAGGTTTACGCGAATATTTGACATTTTAAATTAACTATCTTTTCGTATATTTTCGCGGATTTATTTTGATTTTTGGCTACCGACGTTTCGAATGATTTACAGCAACCATAGTCTTATGAGGGTCCCGTGACTATGATTGCTCAGAAAAGATAGTTTTATTTAAAATATTGTTATATCAAAAATCTTAAGACAATATATCTTAAGATTTTTTGTTTTAAGTTTTATGTATGACTGACTTGTAAAGGAGGTATTCAATTGGGTGTGTATTTTTATTTCGCTAACTGATTATCATGATATTTTTTTATTAAATCCATACTAAAATTATTAATATTTGTTACCTTTTTAAGCTTAAACCACTGAACAGATTTCGATAAAATTTGGCAAGGATTTGCATCCTAGGATCGGAAATACCCTGCTTATCTCGCGAGCGAACCGTCGGGCAAAAACAAGAATGTTATAAAAATTATAATGAATAAATAAAAGGCATAAATTTTATTTACACAAGCCTCGTAGCTTACCATGGAACTAGATGGTGCTGTGTGTTAATGTACCAACATATCTATTTATTTACCAATTGGTGAAGTTTTTATATATATCGAAATAAATTTGATTTGTCTTTAAAAAATTAAAAAAAATATATATTTGGTAACCCGTAAATATTATAAATGCTAAAATTCTTTTATTACTTTTATATCTTTAAATTTGGTTGACTTATTCAAATCAAATCAAAATATACTTTATTCAAATAAACTTTTACAAGCTACTTTTACTTTTGAATCGTCGCTCTTACATTTTCAAACTCATATATTTTTGTTCTATAAATAACTCCTTTGCCGAACAATCCGCTTACAAAATTCATGTACCTAATAGTTTCTTAGATTTACGCTAATATTTGACATATATAAAACTATATTTTCTGCACTGTTCACAATTTTCAATCAGGGAACCAAAATAACGAAATAAATTCACGAAAAAACGCGAAAACATAGTTTTATTTAAAATAGTTCAAGTATATGTGCCCTGTAGCTAATTTAATAGATTTTCAATAAAAATACTCTTAAATATTTTTAACGTGTTCTATACTTGAACGTCAAAAGTCATAAAGTCACGATCGTATCGAAGGGCTAATTAAAATGATCCTACACGAGGGGTGTTCACAGAATTTTAGTAACGAACTCCTTTTAAATTATCTTCGGGGTGTTATGTTTAAATATAAATAATGTTATTCTTGGTTGTTAGTTTTGTTTAAGATAATATAAGAAAATACTAGATCAGTATCGAATAAATTAAAAATTTTCAAATCCCCCTATATAAATTAATTGTCATTTAACGATTACACTGGCACGCGTGAAGCACTTAATCGAGCAATCATACGCCAAAATGCCTTAAATCATTTTGGAAAAGAGCTGATACTCTGACACTGCTGGACCGATATTAACCAAACATAGCTAAGAATCACCGCAAGGAAACTGACTTTCAAATGAAAAAAATCGCATCGAAATGAGTCCATCCGTTTGAGAGCTACGATGCCACAGATATACACACACAAACAGAGACAGACATCGACGTCAAACTTATAACACTTCTGTTTTTGCGTCGGGGGTTAACAAAACGACGTTCCTATCTACTCATAGCATTGTAAAATAACAATTATTGTACATTTTGTATGCTTTACGTTTTTGGCTTCTCAAAAGTTAGTTATTTTATTTTATTTATTTTATAAGCACACTTGCTACTAGTTATTAGTTATAACAGACGGTGTGTACCCACAAAATTATACAATAAATAAGAGACAGAACAATTGAGAGAAGAAACTCCCCGTATCTGCCCAGCTTAGATAAGGAAACATGTAGAATGGTCGTAGACACATCATATATTGTGGCTTTATCGAATTTGTCTATACTAAATACTAATATTATAAGGAGGATTTTTTTTTTGTTTGGATCGAATAGGCTTCAAAACTACTCTTACTTAGTTGGCTAAGAAAATAGTTTGAGAACCCGGGAAGGACATAGAATAGCTTTTATTCTGGAAATCATCCCTTAAGGGTGTGAAAATGGGGGTGAAAGTTCGTATAGGGAAGCAAGCACGGGACGAACCCAAGCGAAGCGAGGGTGAGTCGCTAGTGTG